CCTTTTTATGCTCCTGATATTCTGCCACCTATTATTTCCCTATTTTAAATTGACTAAAAGTGAAAATGTAAACATTTGAGAGCCCAGGGCACAGAAAGCTTGGATCCCACCAAAAAAAAATTATTTTCTGCATAAATAAATGCTTATGAATAAATCCTTGCTCCATTTTTGGTAGACCTTCTATCCATTAATGTTTGTAAATAAAGCAAAGTAACTCTGTATTTTATATCTTAAGATACGTTTGACTGATATAGTAATGTTTAATTTCTTGGTTGCAATCCTAACATTATTTGAACATCCTTTTGGATTTAATAAATACTATATACCTTATCCTTGTATTAACTTACATCATATATGAGGGTATAGTTTTCAGTTAGTTTATACTTTAATGTATGAACATAGTATTGCATGGAAGTGACAAATATTTACATGACAATAGAAATAATAGTAATATAAGGGATCCCTTATATATGGACAAATCAGAACTAATTCCTATGCTATGTATTATAGGAATGGGGTCCAATATCTATTTTTAATATTCATATTTAGCGGGAGAGGGATGTGTGTATTCCATGTTGAGATATTGCACATATTCATTCCGAGCTCATCATTTTTTAAAGGTGAGGTCTGCTTGAGTCATAACACTGTTATTGGCTGCTTGTATATTAAGTAGTTGGAAGAGTATAGTGTAAGTTGTAAAGCTGCTGGACGGTCATGTGTTCTGATAAGAAAAATGATAGCACTTTTAGACCCAACAGCACATGTACTGTAATGTGTGGGCGAAGGTTGTCCTTTATAGATGTGTATGGCAATCTACAATTTAGATGTGAGAAACCCCACTACTATAATATGTAGTGTAATGTCATACAAGATATTATAGAGCACATATGGTGTGAACAATCACATGCTGTTTTTACATTTGTTTTTAGTAGCGTGCGTTAGCCACAATTAAAATGAAAAATAAAGAGCAAGAGCTGACATAGAGGCGCATATTGTGTAAGTGAGTTGAAAAGGCATTAGCTGCTCCCAGTTCTGTCTCCACAATCCGTAAGATGTCTCAACACAGAGTTCCCCTGTGCATGACTAAGATTCCAGACTCTGTAATTGTGAGTTATCCACATGCCTCGTAATAAGGTAACAGTAGTATTTTGATGCTAAAGGAACCAAATAGAAAGCTACTTTGACAGATGAAATGATTATCAATTTTTTTTCTCATTCTTTCTTTTATTACTGAAAAGCATCATAATAAACTTTCAGAGTTCTTTGATTAAGTTTTCATCCTGTCTGTTCTGTTGACTTGTTTGGCAAGTCTCTAGACTTTTCTGTACTTCAGCTTTGCCATCTACAAGATGGAGCTAATAAAGCAGAGTTCAGGACTTATTGTATACGCTCTGTACAGCACTCAGAGTGGTAAAACATTATAGAAGTAAGGAGTGATAAATCTCATCTCTATACATATTTTAGGATCCTGTCCACTTACTAACTCTATCTTCTTTAAAAGAATGAAATGCGTCTCTTATAGGAATTCAGTGGAAACAGAATGCAGGAAAGGAGGACTTTTCAGCTGAAAAAACTGCACGGTACTTTAATAAAAAACCCTGAAGGAATTAGTGTGGAGTTTTTTTAAATCTTTCAATATTGATCAGTGACTTTTCGCTTTTCACTTTTTTTGCAAATACAACACACAAAACCTTGAATTTACAGTAATTTGGAAAGGAGGATGGCTAGTGATAGGAATCTGTGCTCCTGGGTCCACTTTCCAGCCTTATGGTTCTATAATGACCATGGACAAATCAGTTAAGCCCACGTTTTCAGAAGTGTCCATTAATGTGGAGTGCCCAGTTGGAGTTACCTGTAATGCTCCCTCATTCTCCAGTGGGAAGGGAGGCCACTCTGCCTCATTCTGTTCAGGTTCAGTCCTCAGGCTCGGGTCGCATCGGGGAGAGGGCGAGCCATAAACGGTCTAGAGCTCTGGGCCTGTCTGACAGAGGCAAGCAGACAACAGTCTGGGGCTCTTGCCCCTCTGTGGGCAGCGCCCGGCATAGTTTCTAGCTCGTAGCCCCTCAATGGGGTTGACAACACTTAACAGTCTAGGGCCCTAGCCCTCGGGCTGGGCTGGTGGTAGGCTGTAGCCTAAGCCTCCCAGCCCAGGCAGCCAGCAAATACACCGAGTCAATAAGATCTAGCCCTTTGGGCAGAGCAAAGTAGGGGGCAGGCTTTAGCCTGGGCTTGTGGGCTCAGGCAGCCAGTAAACAAATGCAGTCAATTAGCTCTGGCCCTTTGGCAGGCAGGGCTGGCTCCAGCTTTTTTGCTGCCCCTAGCGGCGGTGGGGGGGGGACCCGCGATCGGTGGCAGCTCTACCCCGCCGCTTCATTCTTCGGTGGGAATTCAGCGGCCAGTCCTTCCCTCCGAGAGGGACTGAGGTACCCACCGTCGAAGACCCAGACGTGCCGCCCCTTCCCATTGGCCGCCCCAAGCACCTGCTTCCTGCGCTGGTGCCTGGAGCCAGCCCTGTTGGCAGAGCAGGGAGCAGGCTTTAGCCTAGGCTTGGAGCTCAGGCAGCCAACAAACACACACAGTCTTGGGGTTCAGGTAAGGGGGAGCGCCCACACAGTCTAGGGGCCCTGGAAGGGGTTTGCGCACTGGCAAACAGTCTAGGATGCTAGCAGGGAGGTTCACGGAGCACAGGCCTCCTGGCCTAAGGTGGAGAGTCGGCCACCCCAGGGTTGGGGTGGCAGGGGGATGCAGGCCTGCCCTGCTTCACCGCGTCCCAGCCCAGGGCCCTAACAGTGGCAGAGTGGTCTGCTACTGGGTCGGCAGGGATCCAGCCGCAACACACTGACTGAGACACGGTCAGCCCTGTGGCCGGCCAGTCGTCGGCTACCCCTGGGCTACTGCCTACCTCCCTGGGGTTTGGTACCTCTAGCCTCCACAGGTTCTCGGGCTCCTCGGAGTATACTGCCACTGGCAGTCCCAGCAACTCCTTGTCTGCATTAGTCTCCTCTGGGGGCAGGGCACGGCAGGGGGCAGGTTCTGTTCCTGGGTGCCACAGCAAGGCAGAGGCCTGTCTCCTCCGCTGGCTTCGGCCCAGCTGAGCTTCAGAGGCTTCCTTTTATACTTCCTGCCCTGCCCTGCCCTGCCCTGCCCTGCCCTGGTGCTTCCGGCAAAGGGGTGGGTGGGTTTGGCTCTGCCCACCAAGGGGAGTGTAGTGCTCCCTCCGGTCCAGAGGGAGGCCACTGTGCCTCACTACAATACCCTTCTGCTTTTCAGAGATGCTGAGGACTTGGAGCTCTTATGGTCTTCAAATGGAGTTTTGGGTGCCCAGCACCTCCTGGAAATCAGATTTGTGTGAGCAGACAACTAGTGTACAATTCCAGAATTGGCAACCCCAAGTGTACAAAAATCTTGAATTGGGCCCCAAAAATTCATGAGTTTAAAAAAAAATAATAATTTTTGGTTCTCATTTGACTTCTGGTTTTTGAGTCTTAAGGTTCATGTTCCCAAGCTTTTCCACAACCTTAAAGGCTAGAATGGGGGTGGGGTGGGGAGGGTGTTAAGTGAAAGATGAGATTCTCATGTAAGCAAAAGACTCCAAGAGCTACGGAGAAAACCACCAAATATCATGACACTCATGATAAAATTAGGAGAATTGGTAACATTGCGCATCAGAAAATCTAACCTCTGATGTTACTTAGCTGCCTTGTGAATTTGTTGGGAGACTTAGATGTCTTTGTGATGTGATGTGAAATCCTGAAATGAAAGCTAATTTTATAGCTGAATAGTGTTTTATTAAACTTCAAATGAGTAAGAAATATTATTCATATATTCATGCAGCTCCTTCTGGCTGAAATCAGAGCACAATGCACTGTAATTTTCAAACATTACTGTTAGGTGGCTGGAGCAAGTTACAGTGACTTGTTTTAGTCTGCTTTTTTTTCTTCCTCTCTTCACTGATTTGTAAATATTTCAATAGTGTACAGTAATTCTTCACTTAAAGTCATCCCGGTTAACATTGTTTTGTTGTTACATTGCTGATCAATTAGGGAACATGCTCGTTTAAAGTTGTGCAATGCTCCCTTCTAATGTCGTTTGGCAGCCACCTGCTTTGTCCACTGCTTGCAGGAAGAGCAGCCCGTTGGAACTAGCTGGTGGGGGCTTGGAACCAGGGTGGACCGGCAGCCCCCCTATCAGCTCCCCGCTCCCATAAGTTCCCTGTGCAGCAGCTGCCCAGCAGGCTGTCAATTGCCCGGAGTTCAGCTGTCCCTCCCCACACTGCCATGTGCTGCTCCTGCCCTCTGCCTTGGAGCTGCTCCCCAAGACTCCTGTTTGCTGTGCGGGAGGGGGGCTAATGTCAGGGTGTCCCCTTTCCCCCTGCACCCTGCTTACCCCATCTTCCATAGAGCAGGGGGGACACACGACAGGGCTCAGGACAGAGGGAGCTTGCTGGCAGCAGCTGTGGTCTCAGCAAGCTGATCTAATTAACAAGGCAGTGTACTTAATAGTAGGGTCAGCGTATCTAAAGGGGAAATGCGCATCTCTCTCTCTCTCTCTCTCTCTCTCTCTCACACA